CCTACAAATAGAGAAAACAAACCTTACAAGTTCATTTCCAAAAGCAATCCCTGCTCAGACTTTCTCCATTTAGGAGCAATCATTTACCTTTCCACTGGTGGTGAGAGGGGGCTGGTGTTGCCAAAGACAATCTCTGGTAGCTGCTAGGTCATGCTTTCCTGCTTAAACTCAAGACATCCATGAGGTGTCTGCTACCTGAATATCATAAACCTGTAGTCATGCAAAGACTGAAAATACAGAAACGTTCCTCCCCTAGTATTTCAATCCTATTCAATTAAAAATCCTTGTAAGGATAAATTTTTTCTTACCAGGATACTAAAAAAAACCCTAATGTTTTAAGCTTGTGGCTTGCTTTGCGCTTTGTTTTAAAAACGGCTGTTCAGGAAAAGTTTCTCTGATCAAGGAGAGTATTAGGCATTTCCAAAACAGTCACATGTTAGCTTGGTATGCAAAAATTAATTTCTGAAACAACTCAAGTTTTAAATTAACTCCAGCTTTCTTAAGCTGGGTTATATTTCCTTTTTAAAAACTCTGAATTATTTTCATATATATATATATATATATACATATATATATATATTTTTTAATGATTTTGTCTGGCACAAGGAAAAGATTGCTCAACAAGTCTACTCCCTTAACATGTATTCTTTAAAAAGTGTTTTACTGTTCAATTAAAATTAGTATAAAAAACCCAACTCACTGGCAAAGTAGAAAGAAGGGCTTGTCTCCTTGTTGTATGGTAATTTGGGACATGCTGAATTTGGGAAATAGAAAGGTTAATTAGCCTTTTAAGGTGTGCATTTTCCTAATTTTCTGGAAAGGTTGACATATTTAGTAATTTCTTTTTGTATTCATGCATAACTCATTTTTCTTATTTTACAAGAGATGACAAGCACTTTAAACATCACTACAAAATTAAATAAGATAGGGCTGAAGCAAAAGACACTTTTCTTCTGTACTGGGTTGTCAAGTACCATATGCTCACTTAGTTAAATGAAAGGAATAAAGTTATTATCTAATAAAAAGACCAACATTGCATTCCACTGAACAACCTTGATATAAATAATGTACCAAAACAAAATAATATTTACCAAGTATAATTTAAAAGACTAATCCAATTTTGCAAACCATTAATAGAAATGTCACCTTACACCTTATTCTGTAAGGTGTTTACTAGGCATCTGGTAATGGATCCAAAAATTCAGAAACAACAATATTAAACAAGGGTACAATATCATTTATTAAACTGTCTACATAAAGGTGTGTGCGTGTGTGTGTGTGTGTGTGTGAGTACACTTGTAAGGATATGCACCAAAATGTTAACCGGTGATTGTAAGGGAGAAGATTAATAGGTGCATTTTAAATCTTTTTGCCTACTGTATTTTAGAATTTATCCGCATTTAACTACCAAAAATAAACCAAAAAAAGGATTCTTGATTTAACTCTTTCTGAATAGAGAAAATTTCATTATTACTGTTTCTAAAAGGGAAAAGAAGGTTAGATGAATGAAACAAAATGAGATGAACTATAAGACCAGATGTTAAGAAAACAAAGAGTAACTTATTAGGAGGAAGAGGGCAGAGGCAATGATGAAAGTGAAGTTAAAGTTAAGGTCAAAGAGATGAAGTTTGTGATCAAAGTCCTTCCTAAGATAGCTAGAAAGAGTACAAGGTCAACAATTCTTAGAATGTATCTCCTAATAATTTAAATGTTCAGTGATCTGTTGGCATATTTATATTAAATACACCAAAAAATTTAAAAACAATAACCAGCCTTTCATTTTGTAGTCATTTCGATTCGCAAAGGCTTTTGCTATGACCATAACAATTAATGAATGACAAAAAGGTGACATACAATTGTCATTAACATCTGGGTGCATATTCTTTTGTTTGCATTAAAAGTTTTAAAAAAATCTAGATAGGATGTAGCTTAAGAATAAATATAATTCATACTCAAAATATTTGGTTCCTTTCGGAATATAAACTGTTCAAGGGAAATGAAAATAAAATTAGCATTTCTATGCAAGTTTTGTCTTACACTTTAAAATAACGTATTTAAAATTTGTCTATATTCAGCATAATTGTATTTGGAAGATCTAAAATAACTGAAATAAATTACTGAAGAATTAATGAACTTGCTACAGCAGATTAAATTATGGCTTATTGTGGTAAAGAACAAACCAATTCATTTCCCAGTGTTTTCTTTAGGGTATGAAGTATCCAAAACAGAACCAGCAACAATCATACCAAATCTACAGCTTTGCCCCTAGCTGTGCTCATCAACACACATCAATGAAATATAATACAATCTGTGTAAACTGCAGGAGAGTAATTCAGATTTGGTTGAGCAACTTTCTCCTGGTATCAAAGAACTAGCTTTGATGACTAATTCATTCCAGATTTCACTGGACATTAGGTCTAGTATTTTGTTTCTTTGCAATATTTACTATTTACCCACACTTGAATGGGCTTCAGGGTCCAAGATCAATTGCTTTTCAAATGGAAATATTCTGGGAAGGTAGTTATAAAAACCATTAGTGCCTCAAATACAGTATTTACTGTACTGGCTGTTTCAAACCAATGAACATCCAATCAGCAGACAAAGTCAGATGTTGGTAGTGAGTGAATATACACTGAGGAGAAAGATTCTGCTTGACATCACAATATTACTACAATGTCTCAAAGGTGTGGGCACACAAACAGCTATTCTCTAAAAGCAATGGAAATTTTAGCTCAAGTTTCAGATCTTATTCCAAGGGGAGTATCCCAGAAAATGGGAAGAAAGAAATGTTTTTTCCATTTGTTATGTCAAGATGTATTCAGAAATGTATAATATGTATAATAAACAATCATAATAAACTGTGTCACCTAAGACTTTAGCAAACTGGAAAATTATTGAAATGTATACAAATTGCATAAAGTTAGTGTGATAAATCAGTGGTGCCTTTTCACACATACTTAGTCCTGGTTAAGACAACTAAAGACAAGCCAATGATAGGAGATCACAACCAAAATCATAAGCCAAATCAGTATGTCAATCTTTCAATTAAATTATAGATGGGCTTCTTGAAAGAAATGTTTTTCAAAATTGGAGCAATCACATCATTTTAATTTTCTTTTTTTTTTTTCCTTGCGTTATGCGGGCCTCTCACTGTTGTGGCCTCTCCCATTTGCGGAGCACAGGCTCCGGACGCGCAGGCTCAGTGGCCATGGCTCACGGGCCCAGCCGCTCCGCGGCATGTGGGATCTTCCCGAAACGGGGCACGAACCCGCGTCTCCTGCATCGGCAGGCGGACTCTCAAGCACTGCGCCACCAGGGAAGCCCGCATCATTTTAATTTAAAGAGCATAGTCAACAAGAGAAAATTTTAAGTGTGGAAAATTAAGATCTGACAAGTATTTTATTAAAAAAAAAAAAGCCTTTAGTCATGTAAAATTCCTATCATTTGTGAACCAGTGGTAAAGGAGCATGCCTCCAGAAAGAAAACATTAGCAGTGGGTTCCAGGTGACAAGAATGATTGTTGCTGCCTGAGTCCTATATTCCTATAAACCTACAAAATGTTATAAACTGTTATCTAAAGTTAAAAAAAAGAAAGTCTTTATATTATTAGTCACTCAAAAAGTTTAAAGAGGTTTAAAAAATGAAATGTCCTTGTAGTTACATGTAATATTAATTTCATTTTCATAGTGGTTCACTTTTCAATTGTTATGAATAAACTTAACTTTCTCTCCCTCTCCAAAAAACTGAAATGCCAATGGGAAAACGTAAATGACAGTACATGAGTTCTCAGAAAAGTTCAAAACAAAATTTAGATCTTAATAAAACTTGTACTAATTAAAGGTGCATTTTGAAAAATGTAATATGGGACGACCCATTAATTCTATATTACAAAATATAAGTGGAAATCTTATTTTAAATTCTAACACTGAAAACAATATTACTTTAGACAGTTGCAAAGTTGACTTACACAAAGTTCTCCAGCCACAAAACTAAGATGGTAATTTTAGCTTATTACTCAGATATATCATTTAATTTTATATAGAATATAATATACTTTTCATTTTCATTTTATCACTGTATACTCATTTAAAGTGTGAATCTGTCAAAAGCAGATGTAATATCACACAATTCCGACCACCTGAAATACAGCATGATGCAGAAACATAGTAGCACTGTAACAAATAGCAATAAAATATGCAATGTCAGTGACCCCCAGAGTAAGGAGTGAAGCAGAATGTTTTCTTGCTTTCATTACGGTAAAACTTTCTTGCATGCCTTAGGAAGGGTATACCAAATGATGTTACTGATGAGGAAGAGGAGAAAGATACCTTTCTCCACAAAAGATGCTTTTACACACATTATTACATTTTAGTTAAAGAGAGACAATGGAACAGAGAGAAATTTCAAAGTAGAAATGATTATAGAGCAGGTCGGAGAGAGAAATGGATTCATCTTTTCTTTAGATTCTTGACTCTCAATGTCATAAAAGGCAGAGTTATTCTTAAACAGAGCATCTTTTCAGAGCTTAAAAACACAGTAAGAATAGTCACACACATTGAAAAAGACAAACAAAGTGCTTCCTACCATACATCGCATGCGTCTGCTCATGAGCCCCGTACTGAGTTGCTGAAGAAGATACTAAACCAGGCTGGGCATGTGTTGGTGGTGCCATCATTCTAGCATTACCCTGTATTACAGGACTATAGACATGAGGATGCTGTGTTCAAACAAAAAATAAAGAAAAAAACATTAAAGTACCAGATATAGTCAAGTAGATTTTAGTTATGTCTTAACTACATAGTTTCCAGGTTTCCAGAAACCTTATTTGGCTATAAAGGATTTAGCCTTTGAAACACACTGACTGATCAGCAACTTTCTATTAGGTTAAAAAGGACCCCCAAATCCTTAGCTGCCTACCCCACCGTTAACGCATAGCACAAAATATAAAGGAAAAACCCCTTTACCATACTAAAAGTTACTTCAGTGGAACAACAATTAAGAGTTATTAGGTCATATCAGGCTTACCTGAGACTGATAATGTGGCACATGCTGAACAAGAGGCTGATTTGGAAACTGCTGAGGACTATAGGCAACATATTGTGTGGAATAAGCTGGTGGGGTGGCCACAATTGGTGGGCCTGCTGCTGAGGCTGGGTGCATCATGGTACTCTGATGATGTTGGTCTTGCCGTTGTTGGGGCATATTTGGTACTGCAGGAAAAGACGATGTAATATTAGAACACAGCAGCTCCTTATTAGCATAAAATACATGAACATGGTCCACAAGGCTCTGCATGATTGGGTCAAAGCCTACCTCTCCAATGCCATGTTATACCACACCCATCCCCCTTCAGCCACTATGAGCTGTTTTCCTATCATATATGCTATTCCTCAGCCTCAAACCCCAATCCCCTACTGCCAGGTTGGAAAAGTTTTACTTGTCCATCAAGTGTCAGCTTGAAAGCAACATTCTCAGAGAGATACTCTGTGATGACCCCCAGACTTCATCAAGTCCCTGTAATTACAAGACTCTTACAGCACTATGAAACAACATTTCCTTCATACTTCTCATATACACCCTGTTTGAGACACTGAATTATGCCATTGCTAGAGAAGGGCACTGGATTTTATTCAAAGGAAAACAAAAGTACAACAAAAAAGCCAAAACAGACCCAACACTTATCTTAACTCCATCTTTCTAAATTTCCTACTACTGAACTCTCGCTTTTTCAAACATAGCATCACACACTACCATGTAGCGCTTCTGAAAAACTGTAATAGCTCTTTTAAAACATTACTTTTTGTCTTTTATTACTCCACACAGATTTCTGCCTATAATCTGCTCCATTAAAGCTCTAGTTAACAATTTAGCTCAACTGTCATCTCCTCTGTATCGTCTTTCCCAGTCCCCAACAAAAGCGCTAGCTGTATGCTCTGTGTACCTTTTCCTCACATGTTTATTACAGCACTGACTGTTGTCTGTGATGGGTTTATGATGCTATGTTAACCAAGCCACTTGAGGGAAGAAGTCGTGAACCACTGCTTATAGCAAGACACAAAGAATGTGTAACTTCATATGTTCACAAAATCATCAAAACTGACTACACAGGTAACTGCTAATGTAGAGACAGAATTTGTCTTTTTTAAAAAAATATTCGAAATTTTTTGCTAAAAATTTAATGACTGCTGCTGATACTTAGGAGAGCTAGTTATACACTGTGTTATCTAGTCAGAAAAGCAAACTTGAAAACAGAGAAAACCAATTAGGTAATATTGTTCTGAATTTAATCTTGAGATTCCCACATATTGAAAAAGCACACCCTTCTAGTAGAGAAAAGCCACCCAAAACTCAAATATCATTTTTATCACATGAAAGTTTGTCTAATTAAGCTAAATAAGCTTAACTTACTATCACTATTTCTTTTCATACTTTACAACCCTCACATATTAAATTTTTTTTCAAAAAGCCAGTCAAGTTACTGATTTTTAAAAATAAAAAATTCTAGTTATAAAAACAATGCTTGGGACTTCCCTGGGGGCTCAACAGTTAAGAATTCGCCTGCCAGTGCAGGGGACACAGGTTCGAGCCCTGGTCCAGGAAGATTCCCACATGTCGCGGAGCAACTAAGCCCGTGTGCCACAACTACTGAGCCTGTGCTCTAGGGCCCACGAGCCGCAACTACTGAACCCATGTGCTGCAGCTACTGAAGCCTGCACACCTAGAGCCCATGCTCCGCAACAAGAGAAGCCACCACAATGAGAAGCTGCGCGCAGCAACGAAGACACAACACAGCCAAAAACTAAAAATTAAAACAAAACAAACAATGCTTGAACAAAATCTTAAAAGATAAAATATACAGAGAAATACCTGGTTTTAAGGTTTTATTTCCCCCCCCCCCACCCAAACTGAATCTACCTTAATCTTAAACCACAGTTTAGACTGGCCATACTTCAGCCATTTCTTTACGTCAATGGTTTTCAACTGGGAGCAATTTTGCCTTTCAAGGGGCATTTGGCAACATCTGGAGACATGTTTCGTTGTCACAATTAGAGAAGGGGAGGATACTACTAGCATCTAATGGGTAGAGGCCTGGGATGCTAATAAACATCCTATAATGCACAGACCCCACCCCAGTCTAACCCCACACACAAAGAATATCTGTCCCCAAATGTTCCTGACTTCAGCATATTTTCAAATACAACTAAATTTTTCTCACAGGACGCAAAAATGGTAATGCTGCATTACGTACCAAGAAGACAAAGAGGTGGTTTTGTGCAAAAAGGCACTACTATCATGAAGGAAAGATATGTCTTATATGATCTACAGCTGCATTTCAGAAGCAAGTCCTTAATTTTCCCTGTTATTTGAAGAGTAAAGCAGCAGGATATAAGATTAACATAAAGACGGCAAATAGCCTTCATATACATAGAAGATGCAATGGAAAAGATGAACCCACTTTACATTAACAATAAAAAAAGAAAATACCTAAGGTAAAAACTGAAGAAACACATAAAACTTTTAAGAGAAACTTAAAAATACTACTTGCAGTGGTTAAGAATCTGCTTGCCAATGCAGGGAACACAGGTTCAAGCCCTAGCCCGGGAAGATCCCACATGCCGCGGAGCAAGTAAGCCCGTGCGCCACAACTACGGAGCCCACGTGCCACAACTACTGAAGCCCATGTGCCTAGAGCCTGTGCTCCACAACAAGAGAAGCCACAACAATGAGAAGCCTGTGCACCGCAATGAAGAGTAGCCCCTGCTTGCCGCAACTAGAAAAAGCCCATGCACAGCAATGAAGCCAAAAAAACAAAAAAAAAAAAAAAAAAAAAAAAAAAAAAAAAAAAAAAAAAAAAACTACTGAAGGTAGAGAAGCAGATTTAAACAAGCAGAAAGGCATCATTTGTTCATGGATAGGAAGACAATATAAAGATAGCAATTCTCCTCTAAGTTAATTTCTAAATTATATATTTATAAATTTAATGTAGTTCTAATGAAAATGCCAATTGGCAAACTGAATATTAAAACCCAGGAGTTCATTCTAATAGAACAACAACAACAAACCCTCACTGGTCAACCTTTAGGGATAATAGGAAACCAACTCATTATTTTGAAAACTGCCTTGAAATGATGGGCAGTTTAGCTGCCTTTCTATCACAAACTGTACCTCATGGTAACCAAATAGTTTGACAAGGTAAAGTTTTTCTTTATAGAAATAGTCCAGCTGATAATTGAAAAAGAGATGACAGAATGAGAATGCCATTTTGCAATCCTTAATGAAATAATGAATCTAGCGCTACACAGTGATTGTCAGTGCTGCCAAAACAAACAGAGAAGGGCTGGTATGAAACGTTATCCTGGATAGATAAGGCAGCCAAGTTACTCCTACTATCCAGAAAAAAAACAAAAAAGACAAGGGGTAAGACACTGACTCCTAATAAAAGTACACACATCATCTATGAAACATTCCAGGTTAAGTTTTAAAAAATACAAACTAATCTTTCTTATCTACAATCAGTTCACAAGGATTACAGGGGACAGAGGAACACTTTAAACAATATCACAGGGACACAATCCATGAAATTCAGATGGTGGGAAAGAATATAGGACAAAACAAATTAGATTTAAATAAGAGAGAAATGGAAAAAACTAAGAAGAAACCTATAAGAGAGAGTTAACATTAAGAGAGAGAAACCAATCAAATGAAAAGTGTGGATTCTGGATTGTGGCTCAACAAGCCAACTATTAAGAAAAATTCATAAGACAGTAAGAAAAACTTGTGCTTTACACATTTGATAGGAAGAAATAACTGCTAATTTTTTTAGGTGTGAAAAATTGTATTTTAACTATGGTTTAAAAAAAGAGTCCACAACTCTGTGAGGGTATGAATGAACAAAACATGTCTTTAAAACCGTCATAATAAAAATTTACCACAACATAAAACAATTTTTTAAAAATGACTTAAACATGATAAATGCAATTTGTAAATCTCATTTGGATCCTAACTGGAACAAATTAACTGTAAAAAATATATATACTTTAAAAATAGCCACAGAAATTTGAGGATAAAAGGGAATTACTGTTAAGTCTTTTTGGTGTGGTAATGGTATTGTAATGTTTCATGTTTGTTTTTAAAAGACCCCTTATCTTTAAGAATTTTAAAATAAAGTATTTACAAATAAAATGGTGTATCCGGGATATGCTTCAAAACAATCTGAGAGGAAAGAGGTCCTGTAGATGAAACAAATTGGCCATGGGTTTCTTTCTTTCTCTTTTTTTAAAAATAAATTTATTTATTTATTTTCTTTTTGGCTGCATTGGGTCTTCATTGCTGCGCGTGGGCACTACTCTTCGTTGTGGTGGGCAGGCCTCTCACTGCGGTGGCTTCTCTTGTTGCAGAGCACAGGCTCTAGGTTCATGGGCTTCAGCAGTTGCAGCACACAGGCTCAGTAGTTGTGCCTCGTGGGCTCTAGAGCGCAGGCTCAGTAGTTCTGGCACACAGGCTTAGTTGCTCCACAGCATGTGGGATCCTCCCAGACCAGGGCTCGAACCTGTGTCCCCTGCACTGGCAGGCGGATTCTTAACCACTGCGCAACCAGGGAAGTCCTGGCCATGAGTTTCTAACTATTAAAGCTGACTGATGACTACTTTTACACTATTGTACTAGTCTAACTGCTTACTTGTATATGTTTGAAATTTTCAGTAATAAAAACGTTCTTAAATGCCAACTGATTTTTTTTTTAGTAGTCAACCTGAATATCAAGTTCATATGGAAAAATAAACAAGAAAGAAAAAAGTCAAGAAAACCTGAGGGGGGAAAAAATCAATGTTGGGAGTGGATGGATGGGAAAGTAGTCTTAACAGATAGACAGTTTAACAGAATGGAACAGAAAATCCAGATATCGATTTAACTACACATGGACACTTAATATATGATGAAAATGGCATTTCATATCAGTCTGTTCTCTGATCATAATGGAATGAAAAATAAAAAACAGAAATACCCAAATATTTGGAAATTAAAAACACACTACTACCACAACATAATAAAAGCCATATATGACAAACCCACAGCCAACATCGTTCTCAGTGGTGAAAAACTGAAACTATTTCCACTAAGATCAGGAACAAGACAAGGTTGCCACTGTTATTCGACATAGTTTTGGAAGTTTTAGCCACAGCAATCAGAGAAGAAGAAGAAATAAAAAGAA